GCCTTCCTGCCACCACCGGGCAGAAGGTCCATCAGCCCTCCCGTCCCGTTACCCCAGTTAACAGCGCCCCGGCCCCCAGGCATGGCCGCCCCGCGGGTCACCGAGAGCACCGTCACGGTGCAAGGACAGAGCCTCTTCTACCGCCGAGCTGAGCCGGCCCAGGCAGTGCCCAGGCTGACCGTGCTGCTGCTGCATGGCATCCGCTTCTCCTCCGAAACCTGGCTGCAGTTGGGGACACTGGCCACGCTGGCCGAGAATGGCTACCGAGCCGTGGCCATCGACCTGCCGGGTAAGGTGTGGTGAGCACAGCCCTATCAGGCGGGGTAGCCACCGGTTTGTGGTGGCAGGATGGCAATGCCCGTGTCCTGCTCTGCTGTGCTGGCTTCTCCCTGTCGTGGAGGCAGTGTGGAGCCTGACAGGGCCACTTGTATCTCACACGATTCAGGGCTGGGGCGCTCGAAGGATGCTGTGGCCCCAGCTCCTGTGGGCCAGCCAGCACCGGCGGCGTTCCTGAAGGCAGTTTCAGAGGCTCTGGACCTGGGTCCAGCTGTGGTGATCAGCCCATCGCTCAGTGGCATGTACTCGCTGCCCTGCCTCTTAGAGCACAGCCAGCTGTTCAAGGCCTACGTACCTGTGGCACCCATCTGCACTGAAAAATTCACGGCGCAGCAGTATGCCCAGATCAAAGTACGGCCTGGAAGGGCACTGGGGAGGGCAGGGAACTGGGAGGAGATGGTGCAGAGGGGACCCTGGCACCGGGGTTGAGCGGGGAAAAGGCCAAACAGGCCAGAAACCCTGTTGCCACTGAAAGAGGAGAACCTGATGATGAAGGAATGTAAATGTGGGGTAGCGGGAGATAGAGAAGGGACAAGTGGAGACTCAGGAGTCTGAGCTTCAGTCTCTCTTTGTCATACTGGGTGTGGGAGAAGGGCAAGTGACTCCCCGCCAGGGTGTCTCTGGCAAGGAGGAGCAAGTGCCTGAGTGACCCTTGCAGGCTCAGGGTGCTTTCCCCCTCTACAGACCCCCACGCTGATCGTGTACGGGGACCAGGATGCAGAGCTGGGGCAGACCAGTCTGAACAACCTGAAGCACCTCCCTGAGCACCAGGTGCTGCTGCTGCAGGGTGCAGGACACGCCTGCTACCTGGACAAGCCAAATGAGTGGCACCGTGGACTCCTGGACTTCCTGCAGCAGCTGAAGTGAGCAGGATGGGACCACAGAGCAGGAGGATGTGACCAGCCCACCCACCCCTCTGCCTGCACATGCACCCTTGTGCCAACCCGGGCACTCACACTGCACTGGCCCACACCAGTACCCGCTCTCTTGAGACCAAATAAAACCCCAAGCTCTTCCACTGCTTTCCTGCCACCTTCATCCTGCTTCTTTTCCACCTTTCCTACAATGTCATGGTTTAGGCCTGGCACACCTCCTTCCCCCATCCCTACCTCCATGGCAGCTGTTGCACACAGTTTTAGGGGGTGACAGCAGGGAAATTGCAGCCACTGAGGGATGGTGCATTTGGGGATTGTGGATGGGTGAGTGCCAGCCTTGCTGGAGCCCACACATCACTCCTGATGGGACCCCCATGAACCTCAGAGGGTACCCAGGGAGCCCTGGGGCTGTGTTAAGGGACAGGTAAGTCTCCCAAGGCAGTGACATCCGTGTCCCCAGCTGGCCAGCTTCCTCTTCATCCTCCTCTTCCTCCTCCTACCCCTCCTGGCATGCACCCAAGTCCAGGGTAATCCACAGGGGCTTAAAAGGGAGCTGCCAGGCCTGGGAGGCTCCTGCCCATGCCCAGCACCCTGGGGAGATGGGTGTCAAAGAGTGGCTGCCATGGACAGATGAGGGGGCAGGCAGGGAGGCCGGACAGACAGGGGGCAAGACCCCTGCCTGCCCCCTGCCTGCTCTGCCTTTGGTGCTGCTGCACCGGGCACTCAGGGGCACAGATGGAGCCGGCAGCAGGGTGCCCCCCCAGTGCCCCCCCTTCCCCAAGCTTGCCTGGCTTTAGCTGCTTACGCCAGGGCCCAGGAGGATTTAGTGGGGGAGGTAAGAGGCGGGGGGGCACTTTTCTGTGGGTGCAGGATGCCCGTGTGGGGGACACAAGGCAGTGCCAGGGGTGCAGGAGCTGGTCTCTGCCCTGGCAGTCTGGCAGCACCCTTGTATGGAGTATCCCTGGCGCCCCAGATGGCTCAGCTCCCCTGTTGCTGTCCCGATCCCCCCATTCACGGGTGCCTCCTGCCCCTGCGGGCACCACCCCGCAGCAGCAGCCCGGGGTGCCAGCGGGCCTTGGGGTGCCAGCTGCCCCATCCCTGCCCGCTCCGGTGTCCTTGAGCCCTCGAGCCCTGCCAGCTGATCGGCTTCCAGGAAAAAAAACACGCAATTACAAAGAGGGGCGATGTGTGAGCCAAAGGGAGGGGGGCCGGGGGGGCCAGGAATGTCCCCAGCGGTGGCAGATGGCCTTACCCAGGGTGCATTGTTCCTTTTAGTGTCTCTTATCCGCTGTAATAGGATCCCGGAGGGAGGGATGTGGGAGAGGGGAAGAGCGAGGGGGGCCCCGGCGTGGACCGGGGTGGGGGCCGGGGCTGCCAGCTTGGCCCTGG